TGTGCATGTAAACACACTCAATGATTGTCAGGACATTGGGTTTTCCGTTACATAAGAGTTGTTGTACAGTTGTAGGGAGTATTATCTGTTACATAAGGGCGAGTTGTTGTACAGTTGTAGGGAGTATTATCTGTTACATACTGTAAGGGTGAGCTGTTGTAGAGTTGTAGGGAGTATTATCTGCTACATAAGGGTGAGTTGTACAGTTGTAGGGAGTATTATCTGTTACATAAGGGTGAGTTGTACAGTTGTAGGGAGTATTATCTTTTACATAAGGGCGAGTTGTTGTACAGTTGTAGAGAGTATTATCTGTTACATAAGAGCTGTTGTAGAGTTGTAGGGAGTATTATCTGTTACATAAGGGCGAGTGGTTGTACAGTTGTAGGGAGTATTATCTGTTACATAAGAGCTGTTGTACAGTTGTAGGGAGTATTATCTGTTACATAAGAGTTGTTGTACAGTTGTAGGGAGTATTATCTATTACATAAGAGTTGTTGTACAGTTGTAGGGAGTATTATCTGTTACATAAGGGCGAGTGGTTGTACAGTTGTAGGGAGTATTATCTGTTACATAAGAGCTGTTGTACAGTTGTAGGGAGTATTATCTGTTACATAAGAGTTGTTGTACAGTTGTAGGGAGTATTATCTGTTACATAAGAGTTGTTGTACAGTTGTAGGGAGTATTATCTGTTACATAAGAGTTGTTGTACAGTTGTAGGGAGTATTATCTGTTACATAAGGGCGAGCTGTTGTACAGTTGTAGGGAGTATTATCTGTTACATAAGGGTGAGTTGTACAGTTGTAGGGAGTATTATCTGTTACATAAGGGTGAGTTGTTGTACAGTTGTAGGGAGTATTATCTGTTACATAAGAGTGAGTTGTACAGTTGTAGGGAGTATTATCTGTTACATAAGAGTGAGTTGTACAGTTGTAGGGAGTATTATCTGTCACATAAGGGTGAGTTGTCAACACAGAAAGGCCCGGGCGACCTGGGGATCAAACCTGGAACCTTCTCGCTGTGAGGCATGAGCACTAGTCAGTCAGCCTTTTTATGTTCAGACATAAATGAGTCGTTTTGTAATTTCTTGTGGTCATTTCGTGGGTGGCTGCGGTGAGCAGAAGTGCGCGATAAGCATCTTAAACAGATTTTATTTCCTTTTTCAATAGTTCCCACGCTCAAGACCAACAACAGTCACTTTTATTATTTACTTTCATTTTTTACCAGGCTGATGTTTTCTGTTGGAATAACACAGGGCTAATTTTCAAAAATCAGAAATGTTTTTATAAAATGGACTGGAGACACGAGGCAGCGGAGGAAAGAGACGAGCGGAGGTTAGATTTTTAAAGCAGCTCTGTGACATTAAACAGCTCTACTTTACATTTATTCAATTGTAGGTGGTTTTATAGCGCAAAAATACCTAGAAAAACAACATTCTGACTGTGAGCGGGGTCGCCTCTCCACAGATCTGACCTGTAACTTCGTCTGGCTTAGTCTCCATGATTATAGAAAGGTTTAAAGGTTGTATAGAGGATTTTTTTAAGGGAAGAGAAATATAGCAACAGTCCTTGTTCGCATTCAGAATTACTGTTGAAGTGACCTGTTTAGAAGTAATTCAGCGACCGACGCGTCAGTTTTTAGACCCTTCGTCTGCTTCGGTCGCGCCATCGCTGGACGAGATCTCCAAGAATCACCTCAGTTTGGCTTTGCTCCTTTTCCACTTCTCTTCTTCTTTCAGCGATCTCAAAAAACGGACTTTATTTTGGGGCGAACCGGTCGTGGATTCTCGTCCGCCGTCGCGACAAACTTTGTGCGAAATGCGAGGAAGCGACAGTTCGAAAAAGCCTCTAAGAACCGCCGCGTAAACCACGTAATCCCCGCGCTCCGACGAGTCAGTTATACTAGGGAGTTTGATTGACAACCTAACAGCCAATAGAAAATGAGGGAGCCTCGTTTTCTATTGGCTGATGTTTATCTGGCCTCAACACGTCCACAGTTGATAGATTTTCGTTGTTTTTTTTATTGGTCATCATAATTACAAAGCTGCTGCGTCTCTGTAATGGTATTTTAATCTTTCACTGACAGTTTGAAACAAAAAAAAATCCTCCGTACAACCTTTAATGCCGTACTGTGAAACATTCCAGACAAAGCGATAACATCTTCACGGAGAAAAGCAAATGATGGATCCTACACCCAAAAAGTTACACAATGCACTTTTAAAATAACATAATAAGTACCAAGTCTTAGTCCATTTTATCAAGTCAAGTCTCAAGTCCTAAAAATAGAGATTCAAGTCTGACTCGAGTCCAAGTCACGGCTTGCAGGTCCCCAACTCTGCTAACAAGTGCCAGTACAGTCACATTTTCTTTGTGTTTTGGTCATTTTTAAGTATCCTTTTCTGTATTTTACTGAAATAAATGACAATTTATGCCTCTTTTTACTGTTGGTGGGGATCAAATTGGTCAAAAATTGGGACACCTGGGATATTTTTTGAGTAAAACTGGGACAAATCCCAGGTTGGTGCACTGGGTAAAACAGATGCTCATAGTTTTTCCCTTGGAACAGATCACATGGATTAGGAAAAGAAAGTTGAAATAGTTTGACGAGGCGTGGGGTCCTCTTCAAAGTTTTGTAGGGAATCTTAATTTGACGGATGATTGAGATTATTCTGTAGACCTTTTGTTTTTTATTTATTTCTATTCTATTTTTTAATGTATGTATATGTGTATACATCTTGTATTTTTATGGTGTGTGTTTATATGTTTATATTTACTGATATTTGGGTTGGGAGAAAAAAAAATATGGATGAATAACTTAATTTTCTAACTGTTAGGTTGATCTGTAATTGTTTTTATGTACATGACTGATAGATTGTGTGGTTGTGCTTTATAACGTATAAAACAAAATAAAAACATTGTTAAAAAAATAAATAAATAAAAAAATGAGACAAATCAGTGGTTTTGTATAAATCTGCTGGGACAGAGGACACAGGACTCAAAACTGGGACTGTCCCCGGTAAACAGGGACGTCTGGTCACCCTAATGCAGCATGACTTGAGCTAAAATTACCCCAAACCTTCAAAACGTCCCTTAAGTCCCCACTGCCGCTAACAAGTGCCAGTACAGTCACATTACCTTTGTGTTTTGGTGATTTTTAAGTATCCTTCTCTGTATTTTACTTAAATAAATATCAATTTATGCCTCTTTTTGTTGGTGGTGGGGATCAAATTGGTCAAAAATAGGGACACCTGAGACTTTTTGTGTATAAAACTGGGACAAATCTGCGATAAATTTGCTGGGACAGGGGCCCAGGCTCAAAACTGTGAAACTGGAACTGTCCTGGGTAAACAGGGCCGGTCACCCTGGTACAGAAATGTTTCCCAAACTTTTTTCTGGGGACCCATAATTTTAAAAGTCACATTTCTTTGCGATCCAAGTCAAGAGACATTATTAATAAATCACAAAATAAATGTGTGAGCATTATCGAACTTTAATGAGGACATTTTATTTTTGACTGAGTGATCGTGATTTGCATCGTATCGAACCAAAAGTGGACAGTATCGAGATATGTATCGTATCGAACCAAGTGTGGTGTATTGAAATTTGTATCGTATTGAACCAAAAGTGCGTGGTATCGAGATATGTATCGTATCGAAAAGAAAGTGCACTATATCGAGATATGTATTGTACCAAACAGAAAAGTGCGGTGTATCGAGATATGTATCGTATCGAACCAAAAGTGGACAGTATCGAGATATGTATCGTATCGAACCAAAAGTGGACAGTATCGAGATATGTATCGTATCGAACCAAAAGTGGACAGTATCGAGATATGTATCGTATCGAACCAAAAGTGGACAGTATCGAGATATGTATCGTATCGAACCAAAAGTGGACAGTATCGAGATATGTATCATATTGAACCAAGTGTGGTGTATTGAAATTTGTATCGTATTGAACCAAAAGTGCGTGGTATCGAGATATGTATCGTATCGAAAAGAAAGTGCACTATATCGAGATATGTATCGTATCAAACCAAAAGTGCGGTGTATCGAGATCTATATCGTATCGAACCGAAAGTGCGGTGCCAGTACAGTCACATTTTCTTTGTGTTTTGGTCTTTTTTAAGTATCCTTTTCTGTATTTTACTTAAATAAATGACAGCTTATGCCTCTTTGCCTCTCTGTAAATTTTGATCAAGATTTTTGGGAAACAACGCCCTGGTAGCGCGACTTAAGCTAAAATTACTTCAAAATTCCCTTTAAATTCAAACAACAACGCGCTTCTAATGTCCTGTTTTATCTCTCTCTCTGTGATTTCGCTTAGATGCGCACATTTCAGGTTCTCTCTGACCCGGTGGGACGGGGTATCTCTGCTCCTGCCCCCCTCCCGCTTCTGCCCCGGACACTTCCTCATCCGGACGCTGCAGCTCGGGGCTGCCTGAAGCGCGTCCCGTGCACAGAAGCCGAGGGAAGGGGAACTAAAACCGCCCGGACCGCGCGTGTGCGTCTGCTGCAACAACACGCCGAGTGCACGGACCAGCACCACCATTCTGCCTTTTATTTTCTGCGTTTGGATACGATTTAAGGTGGCGCAGCGTGCGGATTTAAGGTGGAATCGCGAGGAGGAGGGAGGGGGGGGGACTCAAACAGGTGTCCGCTGCCTCTCATCAGCCGCGTCCGTCCGGGGCAAGAAAGGAAAGAAGGAAGGCACACTCCGGGACAAGAGGTGCACGTATTGCGACGTTTTCTCCGCGCGTAATCTGTTTTAGCGCGCGTAATTTGCTCGGTTTTTTTTTTGCTTTCTACAACGGACGCTTTTGTGATCGCTGAGCCCCTACTCATTTAACAAGCAATTTAAACATAATTAGACATTTTTTTTGTTTTTTTGGAGGAGCTGGGTGCACCCCTTCCACTTGATCCGACGTCCCCCCCACCCCTCTGAGATCGCGTAGTGAAAGGGGGGGAGGAGGTGACCGAACGCGGCAACCCTCAACCCCTCAACCCCTCCTTCCCTCCTTCCTTCCCCGAGGCTCGGAGCGGACCCACGCGGCTAACAGGTGTGCCAGAGCCCGGGCACAGCTCTGGAGCACGTCCCCGCCGGTACGCCCCCCTTTTCCTTTCCTTTCCTCTCCTCTCGTGTCTCCCGAGTCCCCCCCCCAGGTCCTCCTCCTCCTCCTCTTCCTCCCTCCCTACCGTCTCCTCTCCGTGTGGCATTGTTCCCGACGAAATTACAACCAAATAGGAGCTTTTATTTGATTCATCCAACTGTTTTTTTTTTTTTTTCTTACCCCTGTTGTTGTTTTCTTTTTTTTCTCCCCGGCGCGTAATCGTTGTCGTGCCAGCGTTCACTGAAGAGGAAGGAGGAGCTGGAAAGCTAATTTAGAAACGAGTATTTCAAAAAAGACAAGCGATAAAGACAATTTATTTTCAATCATGGGATTATTACAAATATTTCTGATTTGGTAATTTATTTTTTGTGGACTATATAGCGGTTGGGGCAGTTTTTTTGTTGGGATTTTTTGAATTTTTCGGACTACAGCGTTAGTTACGTGAGACCCCATCCGCAATTACGCAGAATTTGAGAAACTATTTTCAATTATGGGATTATTTCGAAGCTTTTATTCATTTTTTGTTGAATATATAGCGGTTGGGACATTTTTTTAGTTGAGTATTTTGGAGTACGCAGCGTAAATTTGGAGTTTATCCGTAATTACGCGCAGCTTGACGAAGAAAGTGAAGTTAATTTTTGAGAGTTTATTATCATTTTTTTGGGTCTGTTTCATCATGTCGACGCGGAAACGCAACGGAGACACGGTAGCGGACGTCCCCCATCACCGACCGGGGGACGTCCAGCGCGCGGCGAGCCCGGACAGCCGGAGTCCCAGCGGCGGCGGCGGCGGAGGAGCAGGAGCAGGAGGGGGGGACATGTACGGGGAGTTCCAAAAGTGGTGCCTGCGGACCTACGGGGACTCCGGGAAGACCAAGACCGTGACCAGGCGTAAATACAACAAGATCCTGCAAACTCTGCTCCAGGGAGAAGAGGAGAAAACCAGCAACAACAACATCAACGCCAAATTCAAGTTCTGGGTCAAGTCCAAGGGCTTCCAGGTGGGGACGGTGCCCGGCGAGAGGAGCGCGGAGTCGGACGGGCTGCTGCTCTACGTGCCCATCAAGACGGCGGTTAGTGGCTCTTCCTCTTTTTGCCTCCTCTTTCCCCTCTAGACTCACGTGTGGGCGGGTTTTTATCAGGGGTGGGTAGTACTCGAGTGAGAGTAGCGTTACTGCAACATAATGGTACTCAAGTAGAAGTTACTCAAGTTGGTAAATTGTAAAAAAAAAAAAAAAAACTACAAAAGCAGACTGACTTAAAATGCTCCTGATGTTGAGGATTCTTTAATTTGGACTTTATTTATTTGGATAATACCTGTTGTAAATGTCAATTAGAATTTATATTTTTTTATTTATGTTTAGTTTTACACCAATCAAAAAGCAATTTGTGAAGAAAAAATAAGTAAACCAGGTCTAAACCAGGTCTAAACCAGGACTAAACCAGGTCTAAATCAGATCTAAACCAGGACTAAACTAGGACTAAACCAGGTCTAAAACAGGTCTAAATTAGGTCTAAACCAGGTCTAAACCAGGTCTAAATCAGGTCTAAACCAGGTCTAAACCAGGACTAAACCAGGACTAAATCAGGTCTAAAACAGGTCTAAACCAGGTCTAAACCAGGTATAAACCAGGTCTAAATCAGGTCTAAACCAGGTCTAAACCAGGTCTAAATCAGGTCTAAACCAGGTCTAAACCAGGACTGAACCGGTCTAAATCAGATCTAAACCAGGCATAAACCAGGTCTTAATCAGGACTAAACCAGGTCAAAAATCAGGACTAAACCAGGTCTAAACCAGGTCTAAACCAGGTCTAAACCAGGTCTGAACCAGGTCTGAACCAGGTCTAAACCGGGACTAAACCAGGTCTAAACCAGGTCTGAACCAGATCTAAACCATGTCTAAACCAGGATTAAACCAGGATTAAACCAGGATTAAACCAGGACTGAACCAGGACTAAACCTGGTCTAAACCAGGTCTAAACCAGGCATAAACCAGGTCTTAATCAGGACTAAACCAGGTCTGAAATATGTTGAAAATCACTGGAAGTAAGACTGAGTTCTGCATCAGTATCTAAATTAGACACAATTTACACATAAGAAACACTTTTTTCTGATACTTTAAACATTATTTCTTTTTGTTTTCTTCATTCTGTTTGTGGAGCTCTGCGTCGGTCTTTTTGCCCGCAGTTACCTGACGGTCTACGCGGGCGCACCTCCGGGCCCCCGTTCAGAACCGTAACGATATCGCAGTGATTTTAGCGAATTTGTACGAAGAAAAACGAAAAACCCACCACTTCAATCCAGGTTAAAAAAGCATTGTGACGCGTTTTACTCACATTTGTACCAAGTGAAATATTACAGTTTTTTTCCAGCAAAAAGTAACACATTACAGTAATTTGTTTCTTTTATAACACGTTACTCCCAACACTGTTTATAATTCAACGATATTATTGTGAAACCTTTGACGATACGATATCACGATATTTCGATTATTGTTACATCCCTAAACTCAAGTAGGAGTAAAAATATGCTTCTATAAAATGTGTAGTACTCTGAAAAGTACAAGTTCTTTAAAAAGTTACTCATATAAATGTCGCTGAGTACTATCCAGCTCTGTGTGTTTTTAAAATCAGATTGTGGGGAGTAAAATCTGTTCACACACTCACATCACTTGGACCTGCTTCTTATTGCTGATCCGTCTCCTTTTGTATTTGCCCAGTCTGAGGAAAAAAAGGCCATTGTGTGATACTCTACTCTCTCTGGCCTTGTGCCACTGAGCAACACCTGTGCGGTCAGAGGACGGGGATAGAGTGACCAGGGGCAGTAATTCTGATGTAGACGTTGTTTGACTCTGAAAACTTTGTTGAAATAGGGTTGGAGGCAATGTCGTGGACTGGAGGCAAACCATTGTCATATTAGTCTGGGAGTCAAAGGCTTAAAAATGGGTTGAACCTGACATTGTCTTTCATATATTTTATTTGTCAATGAGGTAAAGATGAAAATCATGTAGAAATGTGTTTGGGGAATTATTTTTTCACTGAATGTTGTCACCACATGTGTTCTTTGCATCTGGAATACATTTATAGACAGCTTACCCAACCCAGTGAGGATTTCAGGAAATTTTCATTTTTCAAAAGTTTCTATCAAAAAATGAAGGTCACATACACTAAAATGGCCATTTTTTCCCCCGCGATATTTCCGGAAGAGCAGACCCTCCAATTACTGGTCCTTAGGGTCACAGTTAACAAAAAAACACAAATAAAAAGGATGGCAAACGATGTCAAGTTCAACCCATTTTTATTGAGCTTTTGAGACTTTGGCTCCAGACTATATATTTTGGACCTGTCCTCATATTGTTCCATTCCGGAGAGAAATTCACAAATCATTAGAAACTGTGTTCTGTTTTGACCATTTCGACTTGAAACAATGTACGTGGGTTTCCCGATGGACGAAAATGTGACGTATAAAGTTAAAATACCCTTTCCAGCTACGAGGAAAAGTTTAACCAGGAAATGGCTTAATCCACAAATAGAACACGGGATGAACGGTTTGACATTGTTTATGACAGAGGTGTTCACACTTTTTCATCATGTGAGCTACTTACAAAATGACCAAGTCAAAATGATCGACCTAATACAAAGCCAAACAAACTGCACTGAAACACTCTGTGCCCCTTTTTTGGACCCTCCCCCACAGTTTGAGAACCTCTTCTTTAAGAGAACTTCCTCTGGCACTTTACACAAAACTGTGAAAAAAGTGAAGGAAGATTTTTAAACCTGTTTTTTAAAGTTCCAAACTGGAGTTTCATTCTTTTCTGGTTTTGCAGTGATATTTACCAGCCTCTGCACGTTTACCAAACCAAACGCACATCGTGACAAACACAGATGCATTTGTCACTTTTGTTAGACAAACTTCAGCCAAATGTGGCAGTAGGTCTGTTCTGTAGATCCGCTCTATGCTGTAGACCTGCTTTGTGCCAACACTGGAACACAAATTTAGACTGGTTTTTGCTTCACGTTTGGTCTTGCTCTTCTAATCAGCCGCACTGTGGGAGGGGCTTGTGTTCGCTGTACGCAGGAAGGAGCGAGAGCGTGAAAAGGCGAGGGGCGGCGTGCTGACGTGAGGCAGGTGGACAGGTAGGATGTTTAGGAAGTTGAACCTGCCCTGTGATGCACGCTGGTACACGAGGGCACACGCTGTCGCAGACGAGCCGTGCATAGGGAGCGTGTGTGTTTGTGATGCGCCGTAGAGTCTCCGCGGGTTTCAAATGAGCGCACAGGCTGCACTGAGACGCCCCACACGCTCCTGCACCCGCTACAAGTTTATTACCAACAGCAGCGGCCGGAATGAAACATGATCACACTTGTTGAGTGTCAGACCTCGAGTGAGAGACAAGACCGAGTCCAAACGCGAGTCTGAGACGAGACACGGCGATCTACCCACACGACCTTGGCGATCGACTGGTAGATCACGATCGACGTATTGAGCACCACTGGTTTATGATATTTTTAAGATGGAGAGAATAACTTTAAGTATAAGCAGCAAGACAAATTTAAAAGCAAATGGAAACGGTGGACTGAACATATAAATACTGTAAGACCAGTGTGAGATTGTATTTTGACCCCCCCCCCCATATGATTTTGACTCCTTTTACTTTTTTCTTTAGTAGTTACTTATCTGATTATTTCTCATGTCACTTACTTTTATTATATATTGCTACATATTCATTTTCTTTTAAGGTATTTTAAGCAATGTTTTGATGGATAACGACTTGGTATTTTGTATTGTTAAAACTGCATATACAGAGCAATCTTGTCACTTTTTATAGTCTATTTTACATTGTTATGGTTTTAAGTTTGCTCTGTTCAGATAATCCTTAATCATTATGTCAATTTAGGCAATGGTTTGTAAAAAATAATGACCTTGGATTTAGTCATGTTGTGTTATAATAAACATACTGGGGGGTCAGATTACTACAGTCATAGGGTTTTGATCTTTTTTTATATATAATAGATCATTGTCAATATTCAACTAACATGACTTCTTACTTTACATCATCGTCAAGTTTGGAGTGAGCGAGAAACTTGTGAGGTCGGAATAATTCTAAGTGGACCTGAGAATTATTTATGATATAAATATCTGTTTATCTTTCATAAGGAAGTATTTTATGGAGCTAAAATATTCCGTGGTTGTGGGAAAGATGGACTGGTGTTGGTCGTGTTGTGTTTTAGTTTTAGTTTAGAGAGAGCTACTGTCTGTGTGAATGAATAATAATAATAATAATAACGCGTCAGTTTTATACAGCACTTTTTGGACACTCAAAGATGTTTTATAGATGATAATTTATTCAATCCAGACCTAGTGGTGGTAAGATATTGTAGCCACAGCTGCTCTGGGGCAGACTGATGGAAGTGGGGCTGCCAATCTGCACCATCAGCCCCTCTGACCACCACCGTCACGCACACACACACACACACACACACACACATCACTTTCATACTAGACAATGTGGGTGAAGTGTCTTGTCTAAGGACACAACAATATTTTTTTTACCACAGGGGCCTCCTGTGGCTCCTGATTTTCCCAGTGTCTCCCGTCCAAGTCCTGACCAGACCGGCCCTGCTGAGCGTCTGTGATCTGAGGAGATCAGGCTTTGATGAGCCGGTATGACCACAAATGTTCATGTATGTTAGTGTTAGTCTGACGACAGCGACACAGAAGAAGGATTCCAGGAGCCACAGGAGGCACCAGTGGCAAAAAAAACTGTCGTTGTGTCCTTAGGCAAGACACTTCACGCTGTCTAGTATGAAAGTGGTGAGAGCGTGAGTGGTGGTGGTGGTCGGAGGGGCCGATGGCGCAGATTGGCAGCCTCGCTTCCGTCAGTCTGCCCCAGGGCAGCTGTGGCTACAGTAGTAGTTTACCACCACTGAGTGTGGAGTGACTGAATAATGAACTGTAAAGTGCTTTGGGGATCTTGAAAGGCGCTATATAAATGCAATCAGTCAGTCAATAAAGAAGAAGCGGCGCTCTGTTTACCTCCGGAGGTCGAGGCCGAGTTGTTCAGAAGTGACAC